TACCAAATGATTTTTTTTCAGTTTTTTCAGTTTTTTCGGTTTTTTCGGTTTAAACCGAAACCGAATCGTTTTATCGGTAACCGATTGTCGGTTACCGAATTCTTATCAGTTTGGTTTCGGTTTGAATATTAGTAAAATCGAACACGTTCGGCTCGGTATCGGTTTAATGTTATCGCTTCGGTTACCGAACCAATACCAGCCCTAGTTTATTTATATGTCACATCGAAAAAACTAAACACAAAGCATTGCAGATGCTTAGCCTTGTTTAGTAATAAGCGGTTAGCTGTTAGCGGATTGCATTAACTGTTTTGACCAGCGGCCTTAGCTGTTTTGATCAACGGATTGTGTTAGCGGTTTGTAAAAGAATGTTTGGTACAATTAGCTATTTTAATTAGCTGTTAACATGTAAAATTACTTATAAGGACATCACATACTTTTTTATCATTCTAATTTATGTTGAACTTATAATTATTTAAGAAATATAAATATTTAATATTTTAAATATTCATTAAAGTAATTTAAATATAATAAAAACATAAATAAATAATAAAATGAAAATATTTCACGTCATATAAACAACCAATAACAAGTCACCACGAATTAAAAACGGTTTGGTAAAACGATCTGGTAAAACTAATTGTTTGAAAATTAGCCATTACTAGTTATTTATAAATACAATCTGATATTTTCAAGTTTATAATATCTACAAATAATTTATATTTTTTTGTAAATTTTGAAATAAAATTGAGAGTCACTCTTTAAAATAAAAAAGGTAAATAATTATTTATCAATAATGAATCAAATTTTACGTTTTTGTTTGTTATTTATTTGAATAAATGATACTAAAATGAATTGAAAATAGCTAGCTTTTGTAATGCAAAAACATGTTACTTTTGCTTCAGTGCTATTTTAAAAAGAAAAAATTATTTGGTGAGCAATGTAGGCAAATGTTCTAGGTAAGTTTTTAATGGTAAATAAACAATAAAAAAAATACATGATCTAATTAAAGAATGCAAAACGCCATTCACAAACGCTCTTTTTTTCCCAATCCGCCAAGCTAATAAGCTACTTAACCAAACATAACTGTTAGCAATTTTATTTGGTCAAAACTGCTAATTTAGCTTTTTTTGCCCAAACCGCCGATATCCAAACATAGGTATTCAATTGAGATTCTTAAATAATTTTTAAGACTTTTTAAATTGTGTGACTTTGGTGAATTTTGTAAAACTTTCATAATTTTTGTGGACATCTTTAGACTTTCAGAAAATTGTTATGAGTCTTTAAGACTTTCATCATAGACTTTTCTGGACCTTTTGAAACTTGTTATGACTTTTATATACTTGTAGTTATAATTATTATATTTGCATGAAATATTCATGAACGTTGCATAACAACTAATATCAATAAAGTCAAACTAGATTTTTTTTTAAAAAAAAATATTAAACCGAAATGAGTTATGATAATAAACATTAGCAATTCAACAAGCATAAAGAATAAAAGATATTGTAGATTAATCATCAAAAATTGATTAATCAAATTTAGAATTATTATTCGAACTAAGCTATTCACGAACAATTTGTTTAAGGTTTTAGGTTTATTAAATGAGCAAGCCGATTCGAACTTTCACGAGCTTTAACGAGTTGAACTCGAGCATCTGCTACAATGACACTTATAGTCAACTTAATCAATATATATTTATCTAATTATTGATTAATTTTATTTTTTTATTTTTCGTATCATGTTGCAACATTAAAAAAATACTATTAGGATATATTTTTACAAGACACAAACATTATCAAAAGACAATAATTGTATCTTATAAAGTTATCAATAATACTCATAATAATTTTATGTAAACAAATAAACTGTTACTAAATAAATTTTAATATTTAAAAATGTAAATTTAAAAATAAAAAAGAAAGAACAAATAAATTATTGGCATGTGCAAACTATACAAGTATTTAAACTTTGAAAAGTCAAATTCACAAGCAAGCAAAATTTCAAGTATACACACATAAAATAACCATAAAAAATAAAAATCTATAATAATATAAAAAGATTTGACATTTACTTGAAAAGTAACTACTTTCCCGCCTAAATAATTTGTCTTTACTTTTTTTTAGTAAATAATTTTGGATTGTGTGACACTTTTTTAAAATTCAAATTTCAAGAGTTGACAAAATCTGTACAACATTGGGTATGGTCAAAAATTTCGGCAGAATCTTTTAATTATGTTACAAATGAATTAGAAAATTAATTAAATCTGTACTAAATATATTTGGCCAAATAATACGGAATCTTCGTTTCTGTGTTCTGTTGTTACAAACAGGAAAGGAAATAAAAAAAAAAAATCAATTTCTTAAAAATATAGCGGCGATATTGTAGGCGATATTCTTAAAAATTTCTGCGGAGATTTGGTGCGGGTCAAATACAGCGGCGATTTTCTTTCACTTCCTAACATATATTAGCCTCCAATTTTTTTATCATGTAAATAATGCTGGGATTTCTTTCAATATGTGGCGATTTGGTGTGGTTCAAATATTGTAGCGATCTTCTTTTCAATTTTTAACATATATTGCGTATACAAATCTGCGATTTTTAACATATATTGCGTATACACATTTTCTTTTCAATTTCTAACATATATATTGCTGCAATTTTCTTTGAAGCTGCGGCGATTTGCTGGGGGTCAAAGATCTTCCAAACTTCCTTTATCATTGTGCAACCAAATCTGCAACAATCATATTCATAAATATAAATGGCCACACTGTGGTAAGATATTTTCTATTGAATCAATTTAATATTCTATTGAATCAATTTATAATATTTATTGCCTTTCTTAAGATATTTTCATTTTCATATCACTTATTTATGGAACTAAACTATAATATACATTGGCCTTCTCCTATAAATTCATTGTTCATTAAATGTTGTTTACTCATCATTTTCTCGATTTTAGTTGTTTAGTACACAAACCAATAAAAAATGAATCATCTAGAATTTGGTACGATCAGTCAAGTAGAGAGAACAAAAAAAATTACCAATGAAGCTCCGTGTGATTAGAATTATTTCACACAAGTTTGAAGCTGCATGGAAGAATTACAAAGAAATCCTTTTCCACGATGAAGAGGTTGCTTCGATTTTATTCTTATTTGTTTATATAAACTTATATTACTCTTTGCAATTAAATAATTCATGTACTTATTCTTACTTTATAGGGATTACGTGTAACTGGCATCCTACGAGCTGCTCATATGAAGAAACGGATCAACAAAATCAAGGAAGGAGAAGTTTATGGAATTAACAAATACCAAGTGGAGAACAACTTTGGTTCATTTCGACTCGCACAGGGTGAATTTAAAATTGTTATCAACGGTACTACAAGTTTTGTTAGGTACAAAGGTGACTTCCCGAATTTGCGATTTGATTTTAAAAGCTTTGGTACTCTCCGTTTTGGGGCCCGTCAAGATCAAAGTGTGCTCTTTGGTAATCTCTATTGCTATCAATTATTATTTAACTTATTATTTACATTTTTTGTTTGTATAGTTATTTATATTAAATATTAAATTAAATAATTAATTTATATTCATCATTTTCTTAATAGATGTAATTGGCCTGGTGGTTAAAATTGGAGCCGTTCAAATGAAAGAGGTCGATGGCGTTCCAACGAAAATGATTGTGTTTTCTCTTATGGATCTAGAGTAAGAATTTTTTTACATTTATATATTTTGGATTTTGTGAAAATCGACAACACCATTTAATTAAATAATTATATAGGAGAAACACTATTGATGGCACAATTTGGTGAGAATACGTTGATCGACTTTTAGATATTGAAAAGGAGTATGGCAATGATCGTCAACCGCCTGTGCTAATTATGCATCTTTGCCGAACTAAGCCTTGGTCAGGTATTTATGTCAACATATTAAATCATATAATTATTCTTTGATATTTGATCATATATTTATGTTATATTATATTTACACGTTATTAAATTTTCTTTAACTATTTTCGAAAATAGATTTACACTTTATTTTATTTAATTTTACATGTAACTTTTTATAATATATGTTAAAATGTCAGAAACAAATCAATTAACAAATCAAGGAATGTTACGAAACTACTTGCGGGACATGGTGTTCCCGAGATTCGAGATTTCATTCGAAGGTTAGCTTTTAAATATTAAAAATTGAATTTTTCACCAATTAAATTTATATGATACTCATATATTATGGATGTAATCATGTAGGTTGGATGGAGGTAATATGGGCGACGTGCACTTGGCCTCTCATAGTAGGTTTTTTGTGAAAGATGAAATCGACGATTTGAAAACTGGAGATGTAGTCGTCACTTCTGTTTATTCTCTTTACGAGATTGAAGAGGTAACTTATTTTTGTTTAACTATTTTATATTATGCGATACTACTATTATATTTTGGATATATAACATTTTTTAATATTATTATAGACTCCTGGAACTTGGGTGTGCGCAACCATTGAATCTG